GAAGAGCGGAGTTGTACTCTGACCCCTGCTTGTTATGAAAACAATAATGAAGTCTCTCAAATGAAAGGTCTCTCATTCTGTCACTATGTATTAAATGAATTCGTCCACCTCTTTTGTTGCTGGGCTTCTAATGATGGTGGAAACAAACAAGCATGGCACAGTTCTGTTCAGTTATGAAACACACGCACCGTTTATGGGACGACTGAATGTGAAGTGACACAAGTTCTGTCCCACTGTGCTCAGCAGTTCTGTCAGTGATCTGATTGATCTGTTAAACCTGATTGATTTTGGCAGCAGACGTGACAGAGGTCCTGCATCATATGGCTGAAATCCACAGACACAGAGCATCACACATGTTCAGGTTTTACAAATTTCTGTGCACCATGTGCTCCCTTGAATTGTGCAAATTTGTTTCTTGATTAATGTAATTTTTTAAGGTTTTCTAAAAGAGATTAATTAATCAATTTCCTGGACCCATAGAGAGCTTATAACAGAGAGTCCATGGAAGATGCTGCAAAGACAGCTGCTTGATCACACCCTGTAGCATTATGACCACAGACAGGAGACAGTGGTAACTGTGGGGCTGATGTTACATTTACTGGTTTTGCTCATAACATTAATCGATCCTCCTGCTTTACATTCAACAAGGAAATCTTTTATATATTCTGATGAAGGAAAACTCACATTTTAAAGACTGAGATCATTTCCTTTTGTTCAATCAAGTCCCCCCTTTTTCTGATGTCTCATGGCACAAAGACTTCAGAACACGTTAGTCTAATATGGACCAACATTTAGTGTTTTGTACAAGCTGAGTGAGATGTGAAGCTGATCAAATGTGTTTGTGTCCATTAACTGAGCCATTACTGTACTTCAGTCATAATGGACCAGCAAATGGATGCACACTTGTTTCCACCATTCCCAGACTTCAGGGGGCTACAGCCTGTCACTGCAGCATCCTCTCTGCCTGCATCACTGTGGTAACAACAGATTTACCATCTCTGTTGACTAAGACTCCCCTCTAACTGATGAAATACATTGATCAGGAGTATTTTGTAATCACAGATGTCATCTTGCACTAAGTGTTTATTTGGAAACCCTGTGAGCTGAGAACTCTGACTTAAACAGTTCAATTGTAAGCATTAAGTTAAATCAACTAGTGTTAATGTAAAAGTTTTCAGCTGTCAAAATATGACAAAAGAACAAGCATACAGCACTGAAATGACCATGTTTCCACAAGTTAATTACATAGAAATTGTGATAAGCAAGCTAACAGAGTATTACATGCCTGGTGACAGTATACAATGGTCATTTAATCTTTACACAGGTGCACTGAAAGTTGAAACCTCAGCAGAGGCCATCTCAGTTTTCAGTGAAACACTTGTGCTGCGACTAGCCAGTGCGTGTGTTCGATGAGTACGACAGAGAGCAGTGCTGGACTTAAATGTGAACTGAGCTCTGATATCTCACATCTCTGAACAGTGGGAACATATTAAACAGTACTGTAGAACAGCTACGGCCAGTGACGTGCGGTCAAGGGAGGCAGGTGAGGCAGAGCCTCCTCTGTCAATCTTGAAAAGAAAAAAAGTTAACCATAAAATATAATAAATGTTAATATTTGTCGGCTGGTGTGTGTT